CTGTGGGTGCCAGGCATGCTCATGGTGCTCAGGCACTCATAAAATTAAAAATAAACCTTAAAGGAGGAAGAAAAGATAGAATCCCTGACTCTGACTTGGAAGGATTAGGTGGAATATTACTCGTCTTTACATTCCAAAGTCAGCATAGGGTACGACTCAACTTATGTATATGAAAGTGCTTACCTGATCAGAGGTTAAACAGGAAAGGGGCTTCAGAAAGTCTAACTCCGCAAACGAGAGGGACTGGGCTAGACTGATGGGATATCATCTAGGAGTGCTTGCTGCCCTTGCAGAGGACCCAAGAGCAGTTCCCAGCATCCATAGGAGGGGGCTCACAACCACCTGTAACTCTGGCTCCAGGGATCCAAAACCCTATTCTGGCCTCGGTAAGTACCTGCATATATGTGGCACACCCACAGAGAAAGGCGCACACATACACATAAATATAAATAAATAATAGATAAAATGAGAGGAAGTAAGGTGGAGTGGAGAGGTTGAGAAGGATGGAGAGATTTTTTTTTTTTTGATTTGACACTAGGGTTCTTTTTCTTTTCTTTTTTTTTTAAAGTTTATTAAATTATAAAAGTTTCCATTTCCGCCCCTCCTCCCACCACCCTTCCACTTCCCCCACTCCCTCTCCTCCTCCCTCTCCATCCCTAAGAGCAGTCAGGGTTTCCTGCCCTGTGGGAAATTCAAGTTCCTCCCCCCTCCCTCCAGGTCCAGAAAGGTGAGTGTCCAGACAGACTGGATCCGCAAAATCCAGTATATGCAGAGGAAACAAGTCCCAGTGTCATTGTCAATGGCTTTTCAGAAAGACTCCGGGCCAGCCACATTCAGAGAATCCGGCCACATTCAGAGAATCTGGTTGGATCGCATCCTCGTTCAGTCCCTGTCCAACTGGCCTTGGTAAACTCTCATTAGATCCGTCCCCTTGTATCAGTGGGTGATCGCATCCCTCACAGTCCTTATTTCCTTTTTCATTTTCTTCATCCTTCTGCGGGATGGAGAGATTTTTAATGTGATTCAGTGTGTGGGTGGAAATCAATGTCAGCACTGGGGTGTTGAGGGGAGGTTGCAGCTTTGCTGAAGTTCTTTCTACTTACTTTCGAGCTTTGCATTGTTCTGATTTAAAGTTACACATGAGGTGAGGAGCCAACAAAATCTTTTCAGTTCGGGTCTTCAAAGGGTTTTCCTCTAGCTCTGATTCTGTTTCGTGGCCAGCATGATCACACATGACATGTATCACTACTGTGATATTCAGTTTTCATTCTGCAACAAAATGCCTGATGTAATCCATTTACAAGAGAAAAGCTCATTTTCAATCCTGGCTTCAAAGACTCCAGGCTATAGTCAGTTGATCCTATTGCTTGGGCCCTGGTGAGGAAGGGACCCCCATGGCTAGACATAGAATAAACAGGAGAGAAAGGCTCCTACCACACCCTTCTCTGAAATGTCCCTAATGACCTAAAACCATTAAGCCCACCTCTTAAAGTTTCCTCTGCCTTAACACACTGCCTAAGGGGACATTCCAGACCTGAACCACAGCACCCACGTCAGGATCTGGGACCTTCCAGGTCCAGGTTTAAACTTTGCCTTTGTCACATTCTAGCTCTGTGACTTTGGGTCACTTGCATCCTGTCTCTGAGCCTTGTCTCCACTGAGAAGCTTTCTACAGAAGAGGACACCATAGGGAGGGAGATAGAATACACAGCTTACAGCTAACTGCCTGGAAAACTGTAAACACGGTGCTTACCACTATTCACACAACTCTTGCAAGAATATGTCCAACAGTGGGGTGTTAACAGAGGTTTCTGTCCTGCCCAGTTCCTGCAGCCATTTAGTACCAAATAAACACACACAGAGGTCTACATTAAATATAAACTGATTGGCCTAATAGCTCAGAATTCTTATTAACTCTTATAACTTATATTAGCTCATAATTCTTGTCTATGTTAGCCACGTGGCTTGATACCTTTTTCAGCGAGGCAGTCACATCTTGCTTCCTCTGAAGCTGGGTCAAATTGCAGATTGAGCTTTCCTCTCCCACAATTCTCATTGCTCCATCTCTACTTCCTGCTAGCTACTGACCAATCAACATTTTATTAAAATATGATTGACAAGGTAAAAATCATTGTCCCACAGCACTTCCCCCCCCCCTTTAAAAACAAAAACAAAAAAAAGAACTCTGAATCTAATATACTTTGTTTAGCTTTTCTCCTGACTCTTATCCATAACAACTTGTAACCAACATTCTAAACAAAGAAAAATATCCATAGTCCATTTTGGGGGGGAATGCAAAAGGATCCTTGGGCCTTTAAAGATCAGACCAGCACCCATGGATGATTCATTGCATACAATGAATGTTGAGACACTTGACCATGGAACTGAAGCTTGGGTAGGAGAAGCAATTTCCAGTGGTAAGAGAAGACATCAAAATACCAAATGTTTTAATTGTGGTAGAGTGGGACATATGAGAAGGGATTGAAGACAAGGGATTCCTAGGAATAATGTCTCCTCTGAGAATGGCAGGAATAGAGGGACTCAGCCTTCAGGTATATGTAGGAGGTATGGCAAAGGCCAACATTGGACCAATGAATGTAGGTCAATAAAAGGTAGACAATCAGGAAACGCTGTTGGTGCCTCTTACAGGCCCCCATGATGAACATGGTCGAGTCATTTCCAGTTACTGTGGAGAATGTTTCTCACCAGGAAAATTAAAAAATCCATTGCTTTCTGTGAAAAAATAATACTGGTCTGGATGATAGAATAAATGTGGAGGATGAGTCAAAAACTCAAGGAGGACATAGGAAATGTATATTCTGGCAGACTTCTATAAACAATCAAAGACCAAAGCTAAGAGTGTATATAAATGTTCAGCTCCTAGGACTGGCGCCCTATCTCAGGTAAAACAAAACATGAGATGGGTTGAGTGCCTAGGGCCAAAAAGACAGAAAGGAAGACTGAGGCCATATGTAGCTAATATTGCAGTGAATTTGTGGAGTTGTGACCTATTGCATCAATGGAATACCCAGATTAACATTCCTGCAGTCCCAAAAACTTATGTTTCTGGGGAAAATATTAGAAGATATTATAGACAATGGTCACCAGCCATTCAGGCTATACAGGAACACAAAGCAATTGATAAATCTTCAGAGGTACTAACAGCCCTGCCTTTAAAATGGTTAATTGAGAAATCAATATTGGTTAACAGTGGCCTCTAGCTGAAGAAAAGCTTCAGGACCAGGTGAGACAGAAAACCTTAGTCAACAGAATGGTGCCCATGTGAACAACTGCATCCACACAAGCCTGGGAGAGCTTGGGAAGTAATTCTAGACAGAAAAGAATAGTTAAGCACGGCTTATTCATAGCAGCATTTTCTCAGGTGAGCTCTGTTTGCTAGAGGCAAATGTGTCTCATTTAAGAGAGACTTCCTGACTCAGTTTTAGCTGCAAAACCTTGCAGCTCTTTTAAGAGGTCCTGCCACAAAACACTTAAATGGTGTTGATGAAAAGCTGACCACATGTTCTTTGGTGGTGGCAGGGAAAGTGAAACACCTTAGAGTTGTGGCAATAAACATGGCTCCAGCTGGTACCTCCACCATGAGGCTGAAATCTCAAAAAGCGAAGGAACAGACTGGATTCAGTCGTCAAAGCCACAGTTTTAATCCCAGTCACATTGCTTAGCAAATTAAAGACTAGTATAGTCAGAAAAAGAGAGATATACAGTAAAGATAGATTCAAAGGCAAAGAAAACCTCTAAATGGTTTATAGTGTGTTTAAAAATATATGTAAGCTTGGGAGACAAAGGAAAAGTTCTTAAAATAAGAAAGAGAGTAGTTGGCTGTCGTGACAAACACCTTTAATTCCAACACTTGGGAGGCAGAGGCAGACAGAGCTCTGTGAGTTCAAGGTATGGTGGCACACACCTTTAATCCCAGCACTTGGGAGGCAGAAGAAGGCAGATATCTGTGAGTTCAAGGACAACCTGGTCTACAGAGTGAATTACAGGACAGCTAAAAATACACAGAGAAACCAAGTCTCCAAAAAAAGCAAAAATTAAAAATAAAAATAAAAAAGATAGAGTTTAAAATAAAGTCACATAAAGATGGAAAATACACAGAGAATCTGGATGCTATATGTTATTATTCTCTCTTTGAAATGTTTAAATACTGAGAAAGGAGCAACAGCTGCTAAAAGATATTTGGTTATAAATGCTGCTGAATTAATCCAAGATAGGTATTTTGAAAATACTTTGACTTCAAAATTGAAGTCAAAAGGTATGTTACTTTGGAGAAGAGGTTTTGCTTTTGTTTCCATAGGAAATGAGAGGCTGTGTATTCATTCTGGGTTAAGAAAAATCAGATTTGATCAAGGAAGACCACCTGAGAAATCTGATAGGAGCTGATGGCCTGGATGTCTGAGTTCTACATCCAGAACAGATTCAAGATGCTGCCTGAGATGATCAAGCCTCACATGATAACTTCAGTCATGACTTGATCATAATTCTAAATTTTCTTTAGGTCCCCATAAGATTATCAGCACCCCCAATCAGAAGGAAGTAGCCTAAAAAACTACTCCCACATTCCCAAAAAATGGATTATGGATGTTTGCCTCTGTTTAGAATGTTGGTTAGAAGATGTTATGGATAATGGTATGAATAAAAAGCTAAACAAAGGAGATTCAATTCAGAGTTCTTGTTTAAATATGGGGGAGAGTGCTATGGGACAATCGTCTTTTATCCTGTCACTTGTATTGTTTTTAATAAAATGCTGATGGCCAGTAGTCAGGCAGGAAGTATAGGTGGGGCAATCAGGCAGGAAGTAGAGGTGGGGCAATGAAAATTCTGAAAAAAGGGAAGTTTAAGTCCACAGTCATGACCCAGCCTCAGAGGAAGCAAGATGAGAATGCCTCACCAAAATAGGTACTAAGCCACGTAGCTAACTTAGACAAGAATTATGGGCTAATGTAAGTTAAAAGAATTAGTAAATAAGAAGCCTGAGCTAATGGGCCAATCAGTTTATATTTAATGTAGACCGCTGTGTCATTCTTTGGGACTTTAACGGCTGCAGCACTGGGCGGGACACAAAACCTTAGTCAACAGTGAGAAGTTCCTTATCTTGTCAGAGCTGGCATGTCACCTATGGGTCAGCTTCACTGACCCATCCTCTGTGGAAATCTCTTTTGTCCACCAGAGCGGAGTGTGAGCTCAAGACTCTGGGGAGAGGTGGAGGTACTGTACCAGAAAACCCTGCACCACTCACCACAGTGGGAAGTGAGGGATGGGATGCAAATCTTCCAGATCTCCCCAGCATCCCTATATTCTTCTGCCACCCCTGGGAGTCATTCTTCTGTGCACTCAACTCCCCAGGACATTCCAGAAACCTCATGAAACAGCTGGCTTTGGTACATCAACAGGTCCGGTATGGCATCAAGCACAGTCACTTTGTTCAAAGAACACAGCTCACAGTCCCAGAATCATGTGGCAAGCCAGTGGAAAATGAGATACTATTTGAGAGCACTCTGGGGGCCTTCCCATGTTGCCTGCTCATGGGCAATGTGTTAGGTTTGGTTTTGTTTCTATGATGAATCTCTGACAGCCATAGGGGAAAGATTTCTTTTTGGCTCATGGTTCTCGGGGTTTCAGTCCATGGTCAGCTGGTTCTCTTACTGTGAGCATCAGGAAAGGGTGAACAGCTTGGTTCCTGTAGACAATCATATGGAAATGAGCAAAAAAGGTCAGGGCAAGATATCCTTTAAAGTATACACACACACACACACACACACACACACACACACACACACACACCTATCCCTATCTCCTCCAACCAGACCCCATCTTACACAGGTCTACCCTTTTTCTCAAATACTCTATTTGAAATTCAAGTTCATCAATGGTTAAATCACTGATGAAAGCAGAGACCTCATGACCCAGTCACTTCCCCTAAATTAACCTTTATACATTGCTCATATGGGAACTCAAGACCTGAGTGCATAAGCGTGTTAGAGGATACTGCACAGCCAACCCATAATACTCGGTGCAGTTGGCAGTAGAGTTCATGTGCCATCGAACTGAGGGAATTCCTGCCCATCCGCACTTTGGAGTCCAGACTTGGTGGTATCATTTATTCATAAAAACATTCTCCATCTTCTTTGGTTGATACAGACTGACAGGAACAAGGGGAATGTTATAGTTTGAAATCAGTCTCCAATAAATTAACTGAGATTTTGAGAACCAAGGCTTTAGGGTGTCTTGGCTCCACCACAGATGTGTACTTCTTGGTGTGTGTGTGTGTGTGTGTGTGTGTGTGTGGTGTAACCTAGGGTTTGAATATATCTAACTCATGGGTAGGGGTGGGAAATATGAATGAGATGACTCTTTTCATTTGTTTGGGGTTTGGAGGGACAGAGCCTCACTATGTAACCCTGACTGGCCTGGAACTCTCTGTGTATACCAGACTGACCTTAAAATTATAGCCAACTCCGTATCTCTGCCTCTCCAGTGTGCTAGGGTTGGTCACGACTATATGACAACATGCCTGGATTCTCTTTCCTTTTTGCAATAGGCTCTTATAAGTGTCCAGGCTGGTCTTGAACTAACTATGTAGCCCAGCCTGAACTGGGGTATGTGATCCTCCTGCTTCTCAGGCAGCTGGGAGCCTAGGTGTGCACCACCAGGTCTGGCACCATGATATTCTGCAGCAGCAGCCCGAGCAGAGTCAAGTAGGGATACCAGTCAATGAGCCTGGTCTAGTTTCATTTTTTGAAAACTGGACGTTCACCTTGAAATCAAATCTAAAAAGAGCACATTTCCAGCAGGGACAAGTAGAACACTCCCGCAGCAGGCAGCCACCTGCAGCCTCTGGGAGAAGCCAGGTACTACACCTGTGTTTATTTTTGCACTACATGCTTTCAATTGATGTCGCATCTCTGTGTCCCTCAAAGGTTTCTTCCGGATCTTCTTCTAGATGATAATGAGCAGGCAGGTAAATGCCAGCCCTGGGCGTGCGTGCGTGCGTGGGGGGGGAGGGGGTGGCGCGGACTGGGGAGTGTCACACGTCTGGATCTATGCTGCCATCTAGTGGCCACTATGAAAAAATGTAGCATTTGTATTAAAAACCCAGAAACCTGAGACAACAAGGAGCTTGGGCAGAACTCGCAGACACTACCTCAGTTAACTGGCAAGAGTCTGTCATAGTGCATGTTTTCCATATGAGAAAATAACAGAAAGAAGAACACATGAATAAGCAAGTGGGGGAAGTGCTTTGTGTGCTGCTTTAAGTGCCAGGAGAACATGCTAAGGGTGCTAAGAGAACTCAGAACAGGGACACGTAAACTAGACTAGGGGGAAGCATCAGGAGAGGCTTCCTGAAGGAAATGGCATCCAGTTGCTGGGAGAGAGGGCAGCTATTGTGGCTTCTCTCCTCTCTCTTTGCTCAGTGCCCTGGGATGAAGGGCTTGTGTGATTCATAATTTGAGGACTGATAAACTGGGCATATAGAGCCACATGCCACCCTTCATCCTCTTTAAGGAGCTGAGAATGCACAAACAATGCTCTTGGGCCCCATGTTACTCTTCCAGCTAAGTTGTGGGGAAGCTAGCTCCAAAAGGCCACAGAGTTCAGCAGTGAGATGAGAGGTGAAGTGGCATGCACCCTTGCTAGAGGGAGGAGCTTGGTCCTACCTCAACTTGCTGGGCCTTGCTTTGTTAACTCCTATGGGAGGCCTGCCCCTTTCTGAATGGAAATGGAGGGGGTGGGTAGATGGGAGGAGGGGGAGGGAAATGAGAGGTGAGGAGGGAGGGAAACTGTGGTCAGTATGTAAAATAAGTGGAAAAATTTAATTTAATAAAAAAGAAAAGAAAGGAAGGAAGGAAGGAAGGAAGGAAGAAAGAAAGAAAGAAAGAAAGAAAGAAAGAAAGAAAGACAGAAAGACAGAAAGAAAAGAAAGAAGGAAGAAAGAAAGAAACGAATGGCTATGGGGCTGAGTTTTACAGTGACGATTCTTCGTTCCTTTCCCTACGTGTTGCAAACACTCCCTTGTAAGTTTTTTCAGGTTTCTTTCTACAGCTTGTTACCAAAGACCTATGCTATCACCCATAATGCTACTTAAGGAAGCGATTTCCTAACCACATGGAGGACAGGTGATTGTGCAGCTTCGTGCCACGGATTTTCCAGATTCTTACACAATCACGCTCCCTCCAGGTGATGTGGCCATATCACCTTGGATACGCTGACACCTGGTATGGATGGACAGAAGGGCCGGTCAGCAATCAACAACGCTATCTTTGAGAAGCCACCTACAGAGAGGGAGAGCCCTGGGAGTCCGTTGGACGTGTTAGGAAGGAATTCCTTCCCTCAGCTGCCTCCCAGGCACACCCAGCTCCTTGTCCCCGTTTGTGAAGCTGAACTCTAGGGTCAGGTAAAGTCGCTGTTTCTTCCTCCCTGTGTCTCAGAGCTCTTAGAATCATCACCGCCTGTTCCAGCAACTCAACACTGAGGGTCATGTGCCAATGTGGGGCAGTTTCACGGTTATCATCATACATGTTGCCCTAGCTCTTTCCGGCCAGCAATCACCCTGTGACAGATAAGAAGGCAGGTTAAGAGAGGTTAGGTAACATTGCCATGGTTACGCATCTGCTTTGCAATACCCCTGTGGGGAAAAAGTCAAAGTGCCCTAAGACCCAACAGCATGTTCGCCTGCAGTGGAACTGAAAACTTAAAGCAGTTTCTCTCTCTCTCTCTCTCTCTCTCTCTCTCTCTCTCTCTCTCTCTCTTTCCCTCTCTCCCTCCCTCCCCCCCCCTCTCTCTCTCTCACACACACACACACACACACACACACCATTCCCAGTAGCCAGGTCTCACGGGTGCTGCATCCTCCTGGTTCCATTACCACCAGGAGAGCACACAAACGGCTAGGATAATAAGGCGATGAGAGATTCCCCTTACACTGCAGGACTCTGTGGCCATGATCAAAGGGTCACCGTATAAGCAGCTGGCTGCAAGTCCTAGTGGGTATCATCTGTCTTGTTCAGAACCGTCACCTTTGGAAGACAAAGGCCTTTGGCCTCTGTGTACAGGTTCCTGCCTCTGCCTCACCCTTGACCTTGCTTTCCCTAAAGTAGAATTTGTTAATCTGGTCAGGTTTCAGGACGTCCCTCCACCGTCCTAACAAGGTTTGTCGCAGCAGAATTCAGGAGCCCTGTGCTGTCCTTCTGCTTCTTGTGTCTCTAGCTGGGCAGGCCCAGGTCAGGCTGCCTTCCCTGTGGGCAGGACCAGCTGCTTCCTTCATGTCTCCTCCACAACTGAGGGGACAAATCAAGCTGGAGGAAAGCAGTTAGCTGCAGCTTGACCTTGATTGCCCCCAAGCAGCTGTCCCTGTAGCTCAACTACAGATAGGCTGTGTTTTTATTCCCCATTTAGCTGGGTATAGGCTAGTAAGTGTTTAACCCCCTTCTCTTCGGGAAAGAGGAAGACAGCCCTGCATTGGTACATATGCCCGTTTCCACAGTGTAAACAGTCTCCCTGTGCATCATTAGGAAGAGATGCAGTTATGCAGTATTTCCACCCTACAGACGCAATAGGAGATGAGCTCAAGAGCATAGATAATAGCAAAATAATTAGGAAGTGCAGAATTGTATGTTGTTGATTTTTAAGATTTTTTTCATTTTATGCATATTTGGGAGTGATTGCATCTGGATGCGTGCATTAAGTGCATGTCATGCCCAAAGAGGTCAAAAGAGGGCATCAGACCCCCTGGAACTGCAGTTACAGATGGTTGAAACTGGTGTTAGAAACTGATCCTGGGTCCTCTGCAAGGGCAGCAAATACTCCTAACCACTGAGCTGTCTCTCTAGCCATATGTGTTACATGAGTTTTAAGTATAGCTCAATTGTAAATTGTTTGGGGGGGGGTTGTTCATGTTATTAGAAAGAGTCTCGCAGTACTTAGGCAAACTTGGTGTAGAAAGCTTGAAAAGACTCTCTCTGACCAGCTCCAGCATAGCAAATATGGTTCTGGCCTTGTCCTCCCCCATTCCCTCCGCCTTGCTAACGCTAGCCCCCAAGGTCCATTCCTTGATTTGTCCAATCTCTCCTGAGGCTGACTACCAAGGTCCAGCTATCAAAGTATTGCAATCTAGCAATCAAAAGCCCCCTTTGGACCACCTAATGAATATGCCCAATTAAAACTAAGCACCTCATCCCAACACAGGGTTTCTCCTTGTACCTTTATAAAATGCTATTTTCCTGTGGGCCACATCTGTCTCCTCGCTATCCAGAGGCAGGCCTTTGTCCACCCTCTCCCCTTCCCACTCTCCCTTGTCCCTTTTTCCCTTCCCCTTCTCCCTCTTCCTCTATCTCCTGTCTTTCTCCCTCTGGAGCAGATAAATCTTCTCTGTACTAAGAACTTAGTCTTGGGTATCCTGAGTCAACTTTGAGGTTTTCTACTCCTATGCCCACAGTTGACTCTTTTCTACACCTGCCCTGACCAAGGGAGTTACTTCTGTCACAACCCATTTCGTCTGCCGGACATCTTCTTTGGAGAAACAGCCTCTTCCGTTCTGACTTGTCGGCAAGAAGCAATCACGTGATCTCATGTCATGGGGTGCACAGGTGTGTAACAGCAGAATACCGTCAGCCCTGTCCTCACTTGGGAACAAGGGAAAGTTGGGGGAAGGAATCCAGGCAACTCCAGAGTCTGTCAGTATTTACGCTGAAACATCCCCCACTCCATTCTTCTCCCACCCTGGTCTCCCTGCAGGGTTACTGTGGTAGGACTGCCTGTGGCCTTAGATAAGGGCCACACCTTCTGCCATGGGCCCCGGGCACACAGTCCTCTCTGTTGCCACATCTCCCCTTCATACCTGAGAGGCCTTGGGTTTGAAGGAGCTAGTGGGGTTTCCCACAAGCAGCCCACACCTCCCTAAACACTGTCTCCTTCTTCACTAGGGCTATAACAAAACACAGCCCTTGAAGTAGCTCCTACTAACACATATTTACTTCTCACACTTGTGGAGACAGGAAAGTTCATGGTCAAGATGGTGGCCCATTACCTGCTTGCTGAGGGACTGCTCACTGGCTCTTTTCATTGTGTCCTCACATGAGAAAGAGGTGAGGGAGTTCTTTGGGGTTGCTTTTCTGGTTTTGTTTTTGTTATTTATTTACAAATAAATAGGGATGAGAGAGAATAGGAATATGGGCGTGCATTGCCATAGGGAGTGTGTAGTGGTCAAAAGACAACTTTTGGAAATCCGTTTTCTTCCTTAGTGGGTTCCAAGGATCAAACTTGAGTCATCCAGCTGTGTGGCAAAAGCTGCTACCCAGAGTCATTTTGCCAGGGATCTCATATAAGGGCTCTAACCCTATTAAAAGAGCCCACTTTCATGACTTAACCCCCTCCCCAAGTCTCCACCTCTTAACAAAGGGTTGCATTTCAGCAAATGAATCTAGAAAGAAACAAAGATCCAGTTATAGCACAGTCCCTTAATTAAACTCTCTTACATTCTTTTGAGGAACTTTGGGGATGACTCAGTTTGTAAAGCATTTACTGCATAAACATGGAAAGTTGAGTCCGTCCCCAGAACCTCGACTGAAAAGGCAGTTTTGTTGCTTACCTTTGCAATCTCCAATCCTGGATGGAGCTGGTTGGCAGCCCTCCAACCTAATCCAGAGACCCAGGCCAATGAGAGATCCTGTCTCAAAAAAAAAAAAAAAATTTAAAAAGGTGGGAGAAATGCCATCTAACTGCCAAAGGAGATTACTGCAACATTACTGGTAGGTGATTCACAGATGAATAGAAATGGGTTAATTTAAGATGTAAGAGTTAGTTAATAAGAAGCCTGAGCAAACAGACCCAGTAGTGTTGCAATTAATATAGTTTTTGTGTGATTATTCAGGTCTGAGTAGCCAAGAAACCAACGAGAAGTCTCTGTCTGCAGAATGGCATGTCAACGTGGGTCAACTATGTCCACATTAAACCTGAGAGAACTTGGGAAGGAATTCGAAACACAAAAGAACAGAATTAAGCACAGCTTCTTGGTAGCCGCATATTTTCAGATAAGCTCTGTTTGCTGACAACAAACAGAGGCATGGCTCCTTTAAAAGATCTCATGACTCAGCTTTAGTGGCAAAAACTCCATGACTTTTTTTAAGGGAAGGCTTCCTGGTTCATGCTGGCAGCATGAACTCTGGCTCTTTTGGGAGGTCCTGCACTTAAATGGGGTTTGTGAACAGCACTCTACTAGTTGCTTAATAGTGGCATAGACTTGCTGCATCCCTGGAACTGGGGCAGTGAGCATGGCTCACAGAGCTAGCAGTGAAAGTACCTCTGCTGTGTTGGACTGGGCAGGGTCAAAAAGCAAAGCAGCCTTAGTTAGTTCTATGGTGTGGGAAGCATTTCTGTGTATGTGCTGCTTTTATTGGTTAATGAATAAAGAAACTTCTTTAGCCTGTGATATGGTAGAGTAGAGCTAGGCAGGGAAAACTAAACTGAATGCTGGGAGAAAAAAAGGTGGAGTTAGCAAAACGCCATGGAGCTGCCAGAGGAGAAAAATGCAAGCCACCAGCTGGAACCTTGCCCGTAGGCCACAAGCCTCATGGTAAAATATAAAATAATAGAAATGGGTTAAATTAAGATATAAGAACTAGCCCATAAGAAGCTAGAGCTAATAAACCAAGCAGTGATTTAATTAATACAGTTTCTGTGTGGTTATTTTGGGGCTGAGCAGCCAGGAATAAGCAAGCAGCTCTCCAACAACAGTCCTAGCCACACTGCTTAGCATTTTAAGAAGTGTTCCTAGTCAGAAAATAATTACAGCTATGCAATAAAGACATATTTAGACAGACATAAGTCTCTGAATGGGTCATAGTGTGTTTAAAAAATGTACATAGGCCTGGGAGAGAAAGGAAAAAGAATATAGACAGAAAAAGAAGTACAGACAGTCATAGATTAAAGAAGTAAAGATAATAAAAAATACTAAAAAGTAATAGAGTTAAAGAAAACAAGCCATAAAGATGGAAAATACACAGAGAGTCTGGATTATGTATATTATTGTGTTTTCTTTGAATATTTTGACTGTAGAGAGACATTTGATTCTGGGGACTGCTAAGCTAAATCAACACATATATTTTAACGGTATCTTGATTTCAAAATTTGAATTTAACAATATATTACTTTGGAAAAGAGGTTCTGATTTTGTTTCCACAGAAGATGAGAAACTGTGGATTTCTTTCCAGATTAATGTAGTTTGATGGAACAAGACCCCTGAAAGGTCTCCGTAAATCCTAAAAGTACTTTGCCCAATAGATAGCAGGAAGCAGTTTGAAGAAAACAACACCCAAATTCTCAAAATGGTAGATTATAAATGTTTGGTTTCATTTAACAGAAGATATGATATAGAAATGAATACTTTGTATTGGTATGGATCTTGGTCTATTGATACATATTTAAGTTGATTTTGTTATATTGTGTATATGTATTTCTGTTCTTGTTTAAGGTATTATATGTTTGTGAAGCTCATTTAAAAATGTAATGTATAGTTAAGAAATAAAGATTAATAGATATTCATCTATAATAGTCAAACTGTAGTCATATTAGTTAGGTTTTCTAGATGTACAGAGATAAATTTCAGATGGATAGGTTTTCTTCAAATCTTTCAAAGATGTACAGAATATGGCATTTAAAAACATTTTAAGAACTTAGACGTTTTTCGACAGTGAGACACACCTACTTCTGGTAGCACCAATTACTTCAAAGAGGTTGATGGCCATTGAAGAAACTCATTATGGAATTTGCCTTCAGTGTGACAAGGCTAGGCATTTGGGCAAGAAACTGCTCTTGCCTGAACTTCATACTTAATGGTATGCTATATGAACTGGACATGCAGGACCCACAGTTTTATATCTTATGGAGATCTCTGTATGATTTTCTTTGGGGGCTTGCCAGCTGTGGGGTACTGGGCAGGACAGAAACCCCAACAAGCAGGCCCTCCATGTTACAAAAAGTTTTCTTTTTAAATTATTTTTTTATTGATTTTTATTGAGGTCTACATTTTTCTCTGCTCCCCTCCCTGTCTTTATCCTCTCCTTCAACCCTCTCCCAAGGTCCCCATGCTTCCAATTTACTCAGGAGATCTTGTCTAAATAAAAGGGTTTTCTATTACATGGCAACAAGTTATGGAAATTATAAGGAAATGTCCTACTTGTTCTTTATATAATCAAATACCATGACCTGCAGGAAGTAAAACAAAGGGCACTCAAAGGAATAAAATCTGTCAGATAGATGTTTTCCACTTCATATAATTTGAAAAATTAAAACACCACATTGACACCTATTCAAGTTTTCAGTGGGCAACTGCTTTGAGTTCAGAAAAGACTGATTTGGTAATCACACATTTACTAGAAGTTATGGCCATCATGGGTATACCTGCACAAATAAAGACAGACAATGGTCCAGCATATGACTCTAAGAAAATGAAACAATTTTTTCTTATTATAATATAAAGCATATTACAGGTATACCAAACAATCCTACAGGTCAGACAGTTATAGAAAGATCAAATCAAACCACAAAGGATATGATAAACAAACAGAAAGGGATGGAAAATAACCCCAGAAATGATTGCATAATGCTTTATTAACCTTGAATTTTCTTAATGCTAATGAGAAAGGAACAACAGCAACTGACAGACATCGGATAATAGAAAAAACTTCAGAATTAAATCAGCCGATGTATTCAAGGATGCACTGACCTCAGAATGGAAACCAGGAGATGTGCTACATTGGGGAGGGGTTTCTCTCTTGTTTCCACAGATAAAGATTCAGTTTAGAAAAAAAAAAAAAAACCTCTTGAGACAGAGAAATGACAGTTCATCCACAGAGAAGACAATCATACAGGTGATAAGAAAGCCTCATAAGTGTTAGAGTAGGGTTCTGTTCTTCACTTTGCAGGAAAATACTCATCTTCAAAAAGTCAAGAGACCTTAGACATTTAGATGCCTAAAGAAGAAAAGATAACTATCCAGAAAGGATCACCAAGCAAAGAGAAATCTGACGTATGAGGACAGGTCATCTGCAGGGTAAAATTTCATTACCTGAAATATATATATATATATATATATATATATATATATATATATATATATATCACATGTATATATACATACACACATACCTTGCAGTATAATGTTAATTGTGACTTACTTAAAAATCAAAACTAGCTTTGGAGTTGGACAATGGCTATCCTTCTCTAAATCCAAGCATGTTGTTAAAAGAAAAATTCAGAGTTTCTTTCTCATGTCAGAAGCCATCTGATATCAGACAGAAAGAAGAAAGAATTTAGAAAAAATTTTATTTTTCTCCATACCTATTTTTGTCTCTATCATACTCTTCATTGAATATATGTCTATATGAATAATGTTTAAGTTTTCCGCAATGAACAATAAATTTTCCTGCAGTAATCTTTGAAGCTTCCAGGAAGAAGATGGGATCCCACAACAATGACTCCACTTGGTTGATATGATGTCGTAATCCTGATAGTGCTACTGTAAGATCAGTTTTGGGTACCAGTTGCTTAAGATGGTTCCAACTTGGTTAGCTGAAATGGTGCACCTACAACATTCTGACCAGAACTCCAAGTAAGAAGTTCAGAAAAACCCTATCAATTACTCAGAGACTATTTACAATTATACCAGACAGTAATCTTGAAACTTAGTTTTACAGGATCCCATAGAAAGAACATCACCCCATGACAGCTGGAAGTAATTCTGGAAGACAATGTCCCCTTCCCCAACAAAGTTTGTCCTCATGGTTAAGGACATCAATTAGGGGTTTATTATAACTGGTATAGGGTTGGAGGTTGGGGTGGAAATTATGTAGGCTCAGGGATCTTCTTTGGAAAAAAAAGGGGGGATATTGGATGGGATAATAGGTAGATTAGTGTGAGTTTACTCACACTAAAAATAATAGTGAGTAATAGAGTAAATACTTGTGAGCTATTATTTATAGACAATTTATATTGGTATAGAGTCTTGTATATTGGTACAAATTCAAATTTTGTTATATTGAATATGCTCCTATTTCTGTTTACAACATTTGTACACTTATGCAAATTTGTTTTGTCATATTGTATGCATGCATGCATGTTTCTACCTCTGTTTAAGACAATCTGTATATTGGTACAGTTTTAGGATATATTTATCATATTGTAGTATACATTTCTACCTCTAATCAAGAAACTTATATGTTGTATTAAGGAGCGGTGGGCCACTTCCCGCTGCCCAGCTCCCGGCCACCTGGGTAGCTTATGCCTGAAATAATCACACAGAGATCTGTATTAATTAAATTGCTGCCTGGCCCATTATCTCCAGCCCCTTATTGGTTAACTCTCACATCTTGATCTAATCCATTTCTAATAATGTGTATTGCCACTTGACTGTGGCTTACCGGCATGAGTCTAACTAGCGTCCATCTTGGAGAGGAGAGCCATGGCGTCTGCCACACTTCCCTTGTTCCCGGCATTCTGTTCTCTCTACTCTGCTCACCTAATTTTCTGCCCTATCAAAAGGCCAAGGCAGTCTCTTTATTTAACCAAAGAAAGTAACACATAGACAGAAGACCCTCCTACACCACTTATACATTGTTCACGTTTTGAGGTTATTGTCCTCATTTGTTGTACAATCATTTAAAGATGGTTTAATATTCATTCTAATATGAAGTC